AAGTAAAAATGAGAAGAAGGAGAGTGAAAGAGGAACGAAGGGAGAGACAGAAGGAAAGAGAAGGAAGGAAGGAGAAAGTAAAAATGAGAGAGGTGAAGGAGAGTGAAAGGAGCAAAGGTAGAGAGGGGAGGAAAGAGGGAAGGAAGAAAGGAAGAAGAAAGTAAAAATGAGAGAGAGATGAAGGAGAATGAAAGAGGAATGAAGGGAAGGAGAGGGAAAGAGGAAGGGAAGGAAAGAAGTTGGATTGTAGGATTCACCTGCTTTAGGATTTGACAATATTAGGTTGAAACCGTGGTGCATAACCCTTTGCTAATGGTTGATTAAATAGATGCAACATTAAACTGTGGTTAATAAGAGGCAGGGACAAAACCCTTCAGGAGCCTACAACTCTACCTGCAGAGAGTGGGTGGGCAGGGGTTCAAAGCCGTTTAAAGATAATTGTTTTCCCTGTAAACCATAGGTCCCTGTGACCTTTGAGTGCAGACTGTGATTCTCTGAGATGACCGTTGTTCTCGCTTGTGGCTTACTAGGAAACAGCCCCCATCCTTCTGTTCCGGAGGAAGAAGACAGTCAGAGTGAACTGTTGATAGCCGAGGACAAAATGAGCCCTGAGCAGGAAGCCCACCTGATGCCCAGGTAGCACCTTCTTCTCTGCTGCTTGTGTTCCTGTATTCCCCGGGAAAGTTACGTACGGATATTAAACACGTTTCTAGGTTGCAACGTCCTGGACTAAGGTGGGAGTGCCTCCTAGGAGCGCCAGGTCAATTTGTAAAAAGGTGCCTCTCTTTTGGCCCAGGTATGACGACCTTGCCGAGAGTGTGGAGGAATACGTTCTGGACATGTTGCGGGACCAGCTTAACAGACGCCAGCCGATGGACAACGTCTCCCGGAATCTGTTGCGCCTTCTGACCGCCACCTGTGGCTATAAGGAGATACGGCAGATGGCTGTGCAGAGGCTGGAAATGTGGCTGCAGAACCCCAAGGTAAGGATCTTGTCCAGAGAACCAGGTGAGAGTTGACGAAGGTCTCTTTTCTTTTATGGACACTGAGAGCATTTGCACCAAAGACAAATTCCTTGTGCGTCCAATCACACTTGGCCAGTAATGCTGTTCTGTTCTGTTCTGTTCTGTTCTGTTCTACAGCTCACTCGGCCAGCCCAGGACTTGCTCATGTCTGTCTGCATGAACTGCAACACCCACAGCTCCGAGGACGTGGAGGTGGTCTCCAACCTCATCAAGATCCGCCTGAAACCCAAAGTCCTCCTCAATCACTACATGCTCTGCGTCAGGTGGGCAGAGAGAAACGGGCCGAGGGGGATCACTGAATGAATGATCCAGGCCAGGCCAAAGCACGGGGGGACCCTCCGTGATGGAGAAGGCCTAATGGGTGGTGGTGTGGATTGTCCCATCTTGAAGCTTTTGGATTTCAATTCCCAGAATTCCCCAGCCAACCATGCTTGGTTGGGGGATTCTGGGAGTGAAGCCCACAACAGCAAAAGATGTTGAGACTCTGGAAAGAGTGCAGATTTAACAGATAACCAGAGTTGGAAGGGACCTTGTAGGTCATCTAGTCCAACCCCCTCCCCTACCCAAGCAGGAGACCCTACACCATTTCTGACAAATGGCAGTCCAATCTCTTCTTGAAAGTCTCAAGTGATGGCGCTCCCATAACTTCCGACGGCAACTTCTGTTCCATGGGTTGATTGTTCTCACTGTCAGAAAGTTTCTCCTTATTTCCAGGTTGAATCTCTCCTTGATCAGTTTCCATCCTTTATTCCTTGTCTGGCCTTCAGGTACTTTAGAAAATAGCTTGACCCCTTCCTCCTCCCTGTGGCAGCCCCTCAAATATTGGAAGGCTGCT